TTTCGAGTTATTCGAAAAATTGAAATTTGAAAAAACCGTTTTTTTTTCAAATAGCAGCTCGCCTCGGCAGACAGTGCCAAACCTTTGAGTGTACTTCAGCCATGAAAAAAAAACCAGTAGATATCTTCATTTGTGTCACAACATCAAGAAGAAGAACACGAATTGGAGGGAAAGCTCGGCCAAACACGTAGAAAAAGTTCAAGCTCCAAACATTCATTTATTGACATCATGCCGATATAACCTAGGACATAATTTTGAAACTATTTAGGGGTTTAACTTAAACTGGAAAAAACGTTAAAAACTTCGAAAAACGCGAAATTTTTATTAGGAGGTCAAAATCTGTATAAAATAAAAGAACCGATTTATACGATATTCAAAAAATAAAGATAAAAAAAACTGCCTACAGATATCCAAAAAAACGGTGTAAGCCGGTTTGGGAAAACCAACAGCCAATCACCCTAGTATTTATGCACTTACATATTTATCAGTTCAAAATACATATTTACATACATTTGTATGCATGTATATGTACACACAAATGTAAATTGTAACCGGCTTATATATTTTGAAAACACAAAGAGAAGTTATAATTATTTTCGCGACTGTGTGTTCTAGAAAAGTTGAAAGACGTGCGGAATTCCAAGAAATGCATACATATACGTATGTAAATAAATAAAGAGTTAAATAATTACCAGTGCTTATAACTATTCTACATTGCATTCTAGACTGAGCTGCTGTAGCAGAATGTTTAGAGGTGCGTACTACCACTCCGTGGGAAATGGGTACGCTCCTGGTCTGAGCAAAATTTAAAATGAGAGCACGTTTTGTCCATATTCACATCTTTAACTGTAAATCACAGTTTATTAGACAAGCTTACATTTTTCTCAAATTAAATTTTTAAAATTTCAGATTTTAAGTATAAATTAAAATATCTTTTTTTTTTTGTGGAAGAAAATTTTTAAAAGCGAAAGAGGCGATGGAGATGCAGCGTTTCTTTTTTTTTTGAATAAAAAGGGATCAGGATGCATCCCAATCACAGGGTTAAAAACCTTTAATATTCGAAAAATGCCTTCGTATTTGAAGCTTATAGTTTCTTTGTTTTTGTTGAAAATACAGGTTTTCGGTAACCAATAGCAAACCTTCGAATTCATTTCAGACATGAAAAAGCTTCTCTCTCATAAGACCATTTTTTCGTTCAGAGGCGGTGTGAAAGTGTAGCTCCCCGCACAAATTAGAGGAGAAGCGCGGCCAAACAATAAGTAAAAGTGTAAGCGCCAAAATGTTAATTTATTTTATACTAGACGG